GAAGAAGGAATTTGGCACTTCCCCCCCCCCTCCATTTTTTCGTATCTGAAGCCTTATTTCCCTGACAAGAATATAAATTCTTTAAGGAGAGATGTGCCTGTCTCATAACTCACAGGGTGCCTGGAAGAGTGCTAGGCACATAAATGCTCAATGTTACTACACTGAAAGTAAGAATCTGTAGCTACCATGACCGATGTTGTTGAAATAAAATGTGGAAGCTGAAATAAATAATCAAGAAAGAGGAAGAAAAGAACAGCATCAGAAAGGGTAGAGTTCAAAATGAGTTCAGGCCCATAGAAGAAAAACCAGCAAAAGGCGGGTTCCTCTCTTTGGAACCAGGAGACAGGGTGGAGGCTGGGGGGAGATCCTGTCTCAGAGGGTACGGCTCTGTTGCTTCTCACCTATTTCTACTTTTCCTCATCAGGGAGATCGACTTTCAGGCTGCGAAAGGTGGAACCAACCTGGTTAAGGGGGTGAGCAGAGGGCAGGAAAGAACCAAGTCACTTTAAACAACCAGGCTTGCAGGGTCGGGGCAGACCTGACCTGTGACTGCAATCTTTGACACTGGGGGGCGGCAATGTCCGACCTGACTTTTGTCTATTTTTTTTGTTTTTTTTCTTATTGAGATGGAGTTTCACTCTTGTTGCCCAGGCTGGAGCGCAATGGCGCAATCTTGGCTCACTGCAACCTCTGCCTCCCGGGTTCAAGTGATTCTCCTGCCACAGCCTCCCTAGTAGCTGGGATTACAGGTGCCCGCCAACACGCCTGGCTTTCCTTTTTTTTTTTTTTTTTTTTGTATTTTTAGTAGAGATGGGGTTTTGCCATGTTGGCCAGGCTGGTCTTGAACTTCTAACCTCAGGTGATACACCTGCCTCGGCCTCCCAAAGTGCTGGGATTATAGGTGTGAGCCACTGCGCCTGGCCGACCCGACTTTTGTCAAAAAAGGAAGAATGGCCTCTGCAAGGAAATGCTAGCTTGAAACTGATCCAGACAACAACTTTTGATGGGATCATTACAATCATCTGCTGGCACATTTTAAAGTCAGAGATGACGAGGAGCCAGCCAGGCTCACTATGAACAAGCCCTGCACGAGAATACTTCTTTTCCTGTTTCGGTGGGGATGCTGGGCTGGAAGAAAACACAACTACTGAAATAGGGTTGCATCCTTCTGGCAAGTTCTCGTCTACCATCCTGCACCTGTGGCTGAGAGGAAGGGGAGGATGGAGCCTGTGCCGATAGGGGTGGGGACCCGGCCACAGTTCCACAGCCCCGTCGCCCACCCCTGCCCACTCCCCTCCACACCTGGTCAGGGTCAGCTCACTGGCAATACCGACCCACCAAAAACAGAACGATTTGTGCACTGCATATATTATGGGGCACCCTGTGGCAGTCTTTGCATGCCCTTGGTCAACTTGTTTGTCCACGACTTAAGTAAAGGCCCGGCTGAGAGAATGACTAGCTTCCTATCGACTGTGTCAAGGGTTTAGATGGTCACAGGGTTAATACAGAACCCGGAAACCTAGGCTAGCTACAGAAGAAAACTGAAGCTTAAAGATGCAAGAATCATACAGCACTGTTAGATTCCAATGCCTTTGCTCTTCCTACTTCACCATGCCAGTTAAATGTACCGGGGCAAATTCAAGTCAGATATTTAGGCTCAAGGGTGCATTTCATGGAGTACAAAATGGGGAACTGCTGACTTGCAAACAGTTCCTATGAAGAGACTTGCGGTTTTTAGATAATTTCAAGCTTGACAAGGACGAGATGTGGCTACTAGGAAAGCTTTGGTGCAACTTTAAGGTGCATAAATGATAGTATTCCTTGTGCCCAGATAAGGGGAGGCGTTCCCATCCCATCGCATGATGAAGACGCTGCAGCTGCCAGGTCCCACCGCTTGCTTGAGAAGGCAGTGGTTCCCCTCTGTTCTGTCCTGGCCTGGCTACATCTGCAGGGCTGGAATCAGTTTAGGGCTTTTTTTTTTTTTTTTTTTTTTTAAAGAGACGAGGTCTTGCTACGTTGCCTAGGCTGGACAGGAACTCCTGCAATCCCCCACACAGCTGGAACTATAGGCGCGTGCCACTGGATCCTGCTAAGGCACTGGGTTTTAAAAGTTTTGAATGAGTTAGAATTCATCTGCTTAAAAGGTCTGAACACCCTGACACCAAGAAATGGAAAAGAACTAGGGCTATCCAGGCCTCGGGGGGGCACGGGGGAGATGTGTGTGGGTTAGGGGAGACCCAAGAGAGTCTGGCAGGGCTCTGAAGGCCTGCTGTCTTCCGGGAGAACAGATCCAGCCTATGTCACTGCAGATGGCAGAGGGGGGACCGAGCAGTGAGAGAACACCATGGCTCACTGGGCTAGACTCGGTCTGTTCTGATAGGGCTGTCCCTGACAGGCATCTGCTCACAAAGTAATGTGGTCCAGGAGACCGACGAGTCTGAGAAAGCGGATGGCATCTGACAAGGAGGGGGTCTAGGTGAGGGCAACAGTCCAGAACCTGCTGCCTCCCAAGTCATAACAGTAAATCTCTGCAGAAAAATAGACACCTGGTTCTGGCAAGACTGTTTTGCTGAGGGTTAGTGGAAAAGAGGGAGAGAAATGCTAGAAAGACCGGCTTCTCTGCTCCCACCTGTCCTGGCACACTCTGGTGAGTCATCCTGAGGAATCTCGACCCTCAGACTCCGGGGGGTCTCCATAAAACAGGAGTAGTGAGTGCCCATGAACTTGAGACTGACAGTTCTCATTTCGGGTCTAATAAACACGCCACCCGTGGCAGCACTGGAGCGTCTGCTGGAACATCATCTTTATCTGCCACTAGCAAAACCCTGGTGCCAAGATGATGGGGTGGGCTGTCTGCTGAACAGGAGCTGGGGCGCACCCTCAGGAGGGAGGGGGCTCCATCCACCCATCTTCAAAAAGAACTTTTGCATGCCGGCCCCCGGGGACCGTGTGCTCTCCCCGACGTGGAGGTGGTTACTGTGCCCAGGCTCAGGGCTGGGTGGAGTCAGCTCTGCGGGCAGGGAAGCCTGGGGGTCGGATGGAAATGAATGAGGTCCTTTCAGCAAATCCGAGTCTCTCCTCCTCCCCAGCTCCATGTGGACGGCAGCTTCCCGGCCACCCTAGGGAAGGAATGAGGGTTTGGGGTTCACTGTGGGCCCCATTTTAAATGGGCACCAACAGCCCAAAGTGAGGCCTGGGCCATCGGCAAAGGTCCTGGGTCATCTGGGCAAGTCCAGTCACATCAGCAATTTGGCCTCTTCGTTCCTATCTTTGTGTTTCAGAATCAAGAGCCATCTTCCAACAAACAGGCCAAACCCCATGGCCACCAAAGGTAGAAGAGGTTGGGTGGAGAAGGCTTGCAGTGTGCAGCACTGTCCCCAGAAGCAGACTGATTCCCCAGAACACAGGGGGCCTCAGCCCGTGGTAGGGAGGCTGAGCCCACGTAAATGGCCATGCAGGGGCTGGGGAGGGAAGGAGAAAGGCACCTGGGGAGTGAGGGGCACAGGGCTTGGCGCACCCGGCCATATTTCCACAGCCCCCTCACCCACCCCTGCTCACTCCCCTCCACACCTGGTCAGGGTCAGCTCGCTGGCAATACCAACCCACCAAAAATAGAACCATTTGTGCACTGCATATATTATTACATCCTTATAAAAGTGGCTGCCAGAAGGAAAACATTTTTATGTGCTGTGGCTGCACAGATGTTCCACAAGGTGGTTCCAATGGAGTTTGAAGCCAGAGCCTGGCCCGCGTGTCCCCAGCAGGCACCTCTCCCCCTCCCCATGGCCCTAACACAGGCAAGCGTTTGGAAGCCGGAAGCCTTTCCCCCAGAGGGGCTATATTACACCTCCCACTGCCACGCGGCATCTTCTAGCAGGACCCAGAGGGCACGGCCCTAAGGCGTGGGCCCCACTCAACAGCTCTGAGGCCGCCCAGCTCCTGTGCTACAGCCCGAGAGGAAAGGGCCTGGACCAGGCCTCTGTTTCCTTGCCTTCACCTCGCACTAAATAAACAAATGTACACAAAAGGCCTAGAGCGGGGCCTGCCAGAATGGCAGCTCTCGCCGACTGTCAAAGCACAGCTCCATCCCCAGGCCTCTTCTGGCCTCTGGTGTCCTCCTGGTCACCACACTGTGCTGTGGGTCGGAGGCCAGGAGCCGGTGTGCAGCCAGGCCAGACGATGGTGGTCCGACGGCCTCCCAGGGAAAGTTAGGGTTGCCCAGGTTAGGAAAATTTTGAATCTAGAATTGTACATGTTCTAAAAGTCTCTCCTTGCAAGACATGTGGCAGTAGCAGTAAAAGCTATTGTTTGTATTTTTATTTTTGAGACAGGGTCTAGTTGTGTTGCCCAGGCTGGAGTGCAGTGTTGTTATCACGGCACACTGCAACCTCTGCCTCCCAGGTTCAGGCCATCCGCCCACCTCAGCCTCCTGAGTAGCTGGGACTACAGGTACATGCTGCCTCACCTGGCTAATTTCTGTATTTTTTGTAGAGACGGGGTCTTACTTTGTTGCCCAGGCTGGTCTCAAACTCTTGAGCTCAAGTGATCTGCCCGCCTTGGCCTCCCAGTGTTGGGATTACAGGCATGAGTCACTGCGCCTGGCAAAGTTATTATTTATTGAGCATAAAACTGTGTGTAAAAATAGTTTTTTATTTCTACTTTACAATGATCTTTCCTTTATTTTTGAGATGGAGTCTCGCTCTGTCACCCAGGATGGAGTGTAGTGGCGCGATCTCAGCTCACTGCAACCTCTGCCTCCTGGGTTCAAGCGATTCTCCTGCCTTAGCCTCCTGAGTAGCTGGGATTACAGGTGCACGCCACCACGCCCAGCTAATTTTTGTATTTTTAGTAGAGATGGGGTTTCACCATGCTGGTCAGGCTGATCTTGAACTCTTGACCTCGTGATCCACCTGCCTCGTGATATACCTGCCTCAGCCTCCCAAAGTGCTGAGATTACAGGCATGAGCCACTGCGCCCAATTTTTTTTTTTTTTTAAATAAAATTTGTTTATTATGTTTTTTAGAGATAGGGTCTTGCTCTGCTGTCCAGGCTGGAAAGCAACGGTGCAATCATAGCTCACTATAACCTCAAACTCCTGGGCTCAAGTGATCCTCCCATCTCTGCCTCCCAAGAAGCTGGGACCACAGGTGCCGCCCCACCCGGATAACTTTTTGGTTTATTGGGAGGGGGGAAGGGGTGGGGAGCAGGGCAACTGTTGTCCAGGTTGATCTCGAACCCGGAGCCAAGCAATCTTCTTGTCTCAGCCTCTCAAAGTGCTGGAACTATTATCTTTGAAAATGAGCACTATCAACACTGAGCTTCAAAGAGGAGGAGGTCTGTCTAGGCCACAGAGCTGGAAAGTTCCCGGGTTAGGATCCGAACCAAGGTCTGGGTGATCCTGAAACCTGCTTCCTTTTATGAGATCTCTCTGCTGGCTCAATTTCATCTACATCCTTTACCAGAAAACTGAAGGACAAACCACAATCCAGGGCTCAGAAAACCTGAGCAGGGTCCATCCCTGCCTCAGCCACCTCCTGCCAGGGATCTCCAGGCCCCTCCTCTCCTGTTTCCGTCCTTCACAGCATGTGATGGTTGTGGGGAGCCTGCCTCAGGCCAGCTTTCCTTCCCAGCCAGGCGCTGGTCACTCCACCCCAGGTCACCTGACAAAAACCCAGCCGCCCCTCGAAGCTGTGCTGCTCAAGCATCTCCACCCCCGAACCCAGGCAACCCCACGGGACACGAGGAGCAAGTGTGCAGCTGCAGCCAGGCCTCCCCAGCGAGCGTGCACTCCTGGAACTGCCAAGCTGGGCCCAGCCCACCCTTTGTTCCCTGCATCTGGAAGGGCAATGGGCTTCTTCCCTGTGACAGAAATATACTGCCCGGCCTAACTGCCAAACACGAGTCAAAGAGGATGTTCCTGCTAGGATACACAGGCAGGTGCCTGCCGGGGTTTTACTGCCTCAAGATATATTGGGGGTGTCTAGTGCTGAGTGGGGAGAGAGGGCTCACTAGCCAATGACCCGCCCGATCTCCCCACTCAACAAAACATTCCACCTTCATTTCTAAATATTTAGAAGCTGAGAAAATATCAAACGAACATCTGCAGGCCCTTCCCCGGATGGGAAACCTTGGATCTCTTTCCAGAGATTTACAGTTTCGCCTCTTTCCCACGTCTCTGCTGTCACACAGAAGTGGTGACCTCTCAGTACAACTTCCTCTGCAACCTTTTGGAACTGGGGGCTTGCAACCTTTTTTCACTTGCTCTACAACCCTCCCACGGGGGCCCACGTGGCAGCGTGCTAGCGGGTACCTTCTGCCCGCCTTTCCTCACACGCATCCGCAAGTCTTGGCAGGAAGGTACGATCTGGCTGGCTTGCGGCTCACCTTCTCTCCGACAGTCCCACTGCCGCGGGAATCTGCTAGAAGACTAGCTATTTACCTTGTCTTCCAGTTGACGTCCCTGAGAAACATCTTTTGGTGGTTGGAGGTGGGAGAAATAAAAGGTAAAATGACGGAGGCAGGGCTGGGTGGAGGGAGCGCCGCCTGGTCTGGCTGTGGTCTGGCTGGGGGGCAGGCGCAGCTCAGGCCCTCCACCTCTGTCACACGTGCCCAGGAGAGTGGCGCTCTGCCCCGGTCACTGGCCTACCATCAGCCACCTACACTGGGATATGAGTGGGCCCAGGGTATACCCTCATGTGCCCACAGAAGGGACCCCTGCGAGATGCCAGCAAGCCGAAGCTGGCAGCCTTCTCCAGATGGGCCGTGGGAAACAGGGAAGACGAGGGTGCCCCTAGGACCACACACACGGAAGGGCAGCTACTGCTGCCAGAGTGAGGCAGGCTGGGCCACAGGACCCTGGGAAAGCTGGGGACCCATGGGGCCTTGCTGAGGGTGCTGATGCTGGCTGGGATGGCTCTTGGGGCTAGGGCCTGGCACTGTGGGCCTGGGGAGATGGCTCCAAAACCAAGCAGCCTTCCTTCCTGACATGTGGGGCAAGGGCATGTGAGCGTGGGGGACCTGGATGAGGCCAAGTTTCCAGAGGAAAAACTCAGGTCCAGGTTGCTGTGAGGACTGTGTAAGGAGGAACTCGAGTGAGGGGCTCTCATCTGACGCCCATCTCACATCTTGGTCGTCCAGCCCCTGCCCACTCCACTCCAGAATGCCTCCCAGCCTGCCCTTCTTCCCCTGCCCTTCTCTGTTTCCGCCCTTGCCACTTCCTGCCTCAGATGGAAGCTAGCTTCTTCACTGACCTCTCTGCTGCAGGGCAGTCCCCTCCAACCCTCCCAGGGTTGCCTGATCCAGGCCCTTGTTGTCTCTCTCCTGGATGACTCTAACAGCTTCCCTCTGACCACCCATCCCCCAAGCCCACGGGCAGAACCACCTTCTGGAAACGCAGATCCCATCAGATCACTGGACTCCCTAGAAACCTCAAAGCCCTCCTGACAGCCTCTAGCAGTGAATGCACCCCAGTGGCCAAGTGGCCTCCAGCAGGAGACCATCCTGAAAGACAAAGGCACACCTGCAAGAGGGGCCCAGAGGGCAGCACTGCTCAGCACACGCCTAGGGAGCCCTGGCCCCATGTGGGGCTCTGCAGGGTCGGTCCCGCTTGCGGGGTCTGCTTGCTTCTGAGGCCACAGGTCCACTGCAGCGGTCCACTGCAGCTGCCCACGCCGGCTGCTGAGACAGTGTGCTGTCTACACCGAGCCGACTGCTCCATGCACTTCCATCTGACAGCTTATTTAGCAGTCGCCGAATGGCAGGCACAGAGGATGAATCAACACCACAACAGCTGTGGTGTGGTAGAAAGTAGCATATTTTTTTTTCTCACCAAGCAAATCTGGGTTCACATCCTGGCTTTGCTTCTTACTGGTTAAGTTATATGGGCAAATTATTTAAGTTTGAACCTCAGTTTCCTCACCTGTTAAACGAGAATAACCTGACCTTGGTCACGATCTAATCCAAGGGGACAGCTTGCAAACCATGCGTGTTCATGCTACCACGGATCCGCTCACCTCTCCCGGAACCCTTCGCCTCCCACCCAAGCAAGCACAGGCATTCTTCCAAGGCTCCTCTGGGACCCGTAGCCAAGCTCTGCAACCCTCACTTCCCCTGTTTGCTCAGAAGCTGTGCATCATTAACTTCGATTTGTCTACCTCGTTGCAATCCCTCCCCCTTCTGCAGTTACTTACATTGGAACCCAGCCCCAGCTTTAATGCACCTCAAATGAATGATGTGATCAGCCATTAGAATGACGGCAGAGCATGAATTTCCTCATTAAAGCCCCTAGAGCAAAAGGCAATGCAAACAAGGTCCGAAGCCCTGGCCAAGGTGTGCTGAGGACAGGCACTCATCAGGCCTGGGTTGAGCTTGGCAGGAGACACTGCTCACGGCAAGCCGGAACCAGACTCTGGCCATGGGCTGACAGCTTTGATTTAAACTATTAGGAAGGCTGAGGATTAAATATTTGTCCAGGTCACTGTAAACCGGGTGGAATTATCAACAGCCTGGAGTGGTAAGTGATGCAGGAAGCAGTCTCTGGATACAGATTCAGGATTTTCCACCCACTCCCCAGGTGGCAGGATGTGGGAGAGTCAGGCTGCAGGGGAGCTGGCTGTCTGGGGATTTGGCTGCTCCTCCCCAGCTAATGGCCCCTGGAAGATAGGAGTCCACTTCCAGGCAAAAACGCTAACCACCACCCCCTCCCCCCCGCCCTGTCAGCACTAGTGAGTAGTTCCGGGGTGGGACCGCGATATCCCTGCTCAGACGCCAAAAAGAGGACCCCAACATCCCTTCTGGCCTCCAGCCCCTCGGACACAAGAGAGGCAGTGGAGCTTCTATAGGTGGAGGGAGGCTCCCAGGCATGATGGCTGACATTCACCTTGCATCACTATTTTTTAAAAGTATGTAGGTGTTGTTGTAACTAGTAGAATACAAATTCACTTAAAAGATTTACTACACTGGGCTGGGTGTGCTGGCTTATGCCTGTAATCCCAGCACTTTGGGAGGCCGAGGTGGGCGGATCACTTGAGGTCAGGAGTTTGAGACCAGCCTGGCCAACATGGTGAAATCCCACCTCTACTAAAAATACAAAAAAACGAGCTAGACATGGTGGTACATGCCTGTAGTCCCAGCTACTCGGGAGGCTGAAGCAGGAGAATCGCTTGAACCCGGGAGGCAGAGATTGCAGTGAGCCGAGATCACACCACTATATTCCAGCCTGGGTGACAAAGCGAGACTCCGTCTCAAAAAAAAAAAAAAAAAAAGATTTACTACACTGATCCTTTCAGTCATATGTTTTCTATCCACAGCTATCGAGAGCATAGTTATCTTACTGAAAGATATCTCTGATGTTAAAAGGAATTCTCACAGTGGAAAGTCAGGGACTACTGGAACCGAGAATGGAAGGGCATCCTCGCAGAAAGTGGCGCCCCTCTGAGGCTCCCAAGGCTGTGCCGTTTCTGCCAATACCGACTTCTCCGAAGACAGAGCGGGGTCCTTGTGAAACCCAGTTGTGCACCTGGTCTATGCTTTCTCTTCCCCCTTTACGCCAAGCATCTTGTGGCCCCGCACCAGCACAAGATTAAGGCCTTCTCTTGGGATGGGAATGTAAAGGGTCCTGAACATGGATCCTTACACAAGGTTCTTAAACCCACCTAGATGCTTATGGGAGCATCTAAGGTAGAAGGGGAGGCAAGTTTGCTCAGGGAAGGCAGTACCTTCCAGTCCAAGTCCAAGTTTGCCTTAGACAGAACCTGGGAACAACGTCGTGGAGAAGGGTTGCTAGAGATACCCAAACAAAAGATGGATAAGAGAGAGGTATCCAGTAGGGCACGTCTTAAATTTCAATGTGCACACACATTACCTGGAGAATTTTGTGAAAATAGAGATCCTGATATGCTAGGTCTGGGGGCGCGTCTGACATTTCTGCCTTTCTGACAGGCTCTGTGGTGACGCTGATGCTCGTCCTTGGACTGGGCTGAGGGCAGCAAGGTGCAGACACTCTGAGCTCAGGTAAGCAGCTCCCGGAGAGCTGGCCTGACTGATGGGCTGGGCATGGCCACAGAGAAGGCAAACAGAGCCAAGCACCACTTCTCACAGCACACCATGAGCCGAAGCATGGGGATGTGCAGTGCCCTGAGGAGTAAGGAGGAGCCACGCCAGCACCTGACCTCCCTCAGCAGGAGGCCAGCAGAGTGCCAGCAGCTATAGGCAACCTTGCACAGCCCAGAGAGCTTTCATTTGAAACTGCGAAGCCCTCCTTAGGTGGTGGATTTATAGCTGGCTGAACATGCTTACCCTAGGGCACCTGCTCACTCATCTCTGCAGGTCAGCGCTGAGGCCAGCACCTGTGGGCACTGGCAACTGGCTATGAGCGGGTAACTCTACCTGTCTGGTAAGGCTGCCTCCGAGGTTCATGGTGCCAGAGCCGGATTTGTTGGTCTGCAGCCACAGCATCACCGTGGAGGTCAACTTGTAATGGGCAGTGCGGCCACTGGATTTCTCCTGGAAGGACAAGACAGAGATCTGTTGAGCTGAGGGAGAGCCTGAAGTGGCCCCTTGAATTCAGGGTCATCCTAACATCTCCTCCTAGGTCATTATCACAATATTACTTTTTTAATTGGAGACAAAGTCTTGCTCTGTCACCCAGGCTGGAGTGCAGTGGTGTGATCTCAACTCACTGCAGCCTCCACCTCCCAGGTTCAAGCGATTCTCCTGCCTCAGCCTCCCAAGTAGCTAGGATTACAGGCCCCTGCCACTAAGCCTGGCTAATTTTCTTTGTGTTTTTGGTAGAGGTGGGGTTTCACCATGTTGGCCAGGCTGATCTTGAACTCCTGATCTCCAGTGATCTGCCTGCCTCAGCCTCCCAAACTGCTGGGATTACAGGCATGAGCCACTGCACCCGGCCTCACAATGTTATCTTTCTTATAAAATCCCAACTGGTTTTTAAAGGGACATTTGTAATTGTGTATTTCTTTTGGGAACTTAATCATCAATGACTACTGCAATTTTTTTTTTTTTTTTTTTGAGACGGAGTCTCGCCCTGTCGCCCAGGCTGGAGTGCAGTGGCCGGATCTCAGCTCACTGCAAGCTCTGCCTCCCGGGTTCACGCCATTCTCCTGCCTCAGCCTCCCGAGTAGCTGGGACTACAGGCGCCCGCCACCTCGCCCAGCTAGTTTTTTGTATTTTTTAGTAGAGACGGGGTTTCACCGTGTTAGCCAGGATGGTCTCGATCTCCTGACCTCGTGATCCACCTGTCTCAGCCTCCCAAAGTGCTGGGATTACAGGCTTGAGCCACCGCGCCCGGCAACTACTGCAATCTTGACTTATCTTTATCCAAATGGCTTGGAGGCATTTCTCAGAATGAGGGGTTCAGAGATCACAGCATCCCCCTCACTGCATCTGCTAGAGAGCAGCGCGGCACTGTTTGGTGTGATTCTGTACTTAGTGGCCTCGGCCACCAGCTGCTGGGAGGTGGTACCTGCACTTCTACCACGTGGATGGAATCCCAGCAGCCTTTGATCTTCTTTGATCCATCTCCAGCCTTCTTTATGAGGATCACTCCAGCAAAGCCATGATCCAAATCCCAGAGGTAGACAGATGAGACGCCGCCTTCAAAATACCTGCAGGAAACAGGCCAATGTTAGATGCTAAAGGACAGATCATCAGCCTGGGTCCCAGGCTGTTGCTCAGCAAAGATTCTGGGATTTGGGGTCCTCCCTGCAACAGTTATAGGAGCCGATCCTTGGGTGTGTTCTGATCGTTCTCTGGCTCGGGGAGGGGGTGCAGCATTTTTGGGGGTGTAGTAGGTTTAGGCATCATAAAGATGAACTTGAGTTTGGGCTCTGCCACCTCCTTTAGCTTTGTAGTCTTTGGCTTACTGGACCTCTCTAGGCGTCACATTCCTCCCAGATAAAGAACGCAGCACGAGTGACATCCAGTGACAATCCATGCAGGCCATGACTACTGGAGTGACCACGGTTGTTCAATATTTCTGTCTTTTGGGTTACAAGGCAGATGAGAAAATACAGCAACAAACTCCCTACACGCTGATCCCTCCTGAGCCTGGCAGACCAGGGCTCCAGCTGGTCTTTCGGAGCAACTTCCTACAAAGCGCTAGCCGGAAATGAAGGGCTCAGCTTGAGACAGTGCTTCCTCCTCAAATCCGAGTCAATACAAAAACATCTCTCTCTCTCTCTCTCTTTTTTTTTTTTTTGAGATGAAGTCTTATTGTCTCCCAGGCCAGAGTGCAGTGGTACCATCTCGGCTCACTGCAACCTCCACCTCCCAGGTTCAAACGATTCTCCTGCCTCAGCCTCCTAAGTAGCTGGGATTACAGGTGTGCACCACTGCGCCCGGCTAATTTCTGTATTTTTAGTAGAGATGGGGTTTCGCCATGTTGGCCAGGCTGGTCTCGATCTCCTGACCTCAAGTGATCCACTGCATCTGGCCCAGAAACATTTCTAATTATGATCAAATGGAAGAGGGAATGAAAAGGTTAGATGAGAAATGGGAATCAGTCTGGGATCCCAAACCCAACAGACCCAGGTCAACTACTGTGGCTCGCTGGGGCTGCCGTGAGCAGAGGTGAGGGGTGGAGTCAGCTGATGGGAACTGCAAATGCTGGTGATAACCAGCGAAATCTCATTTCTTGTGGCGAAATCTGTAGCCTCTCCGACCCCAATTAAGCCCCAAAAAGAGAAATCTCATCTCTGCTGATAACCAGTGAAACTGTAAGCAATCGCATCTCTCATGGTGAGCACATCTTTATCAGAAAGTCTGGGGCCTCTCTGACCCCTATTAAGCCCCAAAGCCCTGGTGCGGCAGGCGTATTCTGGGAGCACACCGCCCTCAGCCCCGCACAGCTGGGAAGGTGGGCCCAGGCTTGGGAGTCAGACGGACCCAATGACAGCTCTAGCACGCCCAGCCCCAGCTATGAGCTATGCTCACGCATGCATGCGTCCAACTGTTTACTAAGGGACCAGTGGCGTGAACATGGACTTTAGGGACTTAATCTACTTTCTACGGCTGTTGAGAGACAAACAATTAGGAAAAGTAGACACCTACCAAACGGTTAATGTAAAATTAAGTACTAGAAATTAACATGTATCTGTAGATTATGTCTCACCAAAGCTATTCTATAATAAAAAATACACACGGTAAATGTGAATATTTACAGAATGTGGGTGATGGGTATACAAGAATTCTCTGTACTTTTTTTTTTTTTTGCAATTTGACAGTAAGTCATACTGTTCCAGACTAAAAAGCTTTTGTGAAAAATCCGTACGCGAATACACCAGAGTGTGATGTAACTAAGAGACCATCAGACCAAGGAAGCAAAGCATCCTCCCAGGAGAATGAGGGTGCCCTGGCTGGTCTGCCCTCACTCCAAGCCTCAGACCTGTGGAGCATCCAGGAGGGCTGATACTCAGGTGGGCTATCCTTGGCCCCGCCCCGAGGGCTCCCTCAGGCAGGCTGCAGCCAGCCCCTGCGGCAGGACCACATCCTGTCCCGTTCCCTCTGTGGCACTAACCACTGTGATTAAGCTATCAAACCGAATACGCCATGGTGCGTCCACAGGCGAGTCTGCAGGAGGGCAGATGAGGGCAGGGCTGCCTGGCTAACAGAAGTGTCACTCAGGGAACACCTGTGGGATGGATGTGTCAGGTGCCAGATGCTGAGCTCATCACTGGTCAAACTGCACAGGGTGGGGAAGGGCCTGGCTCTGGCAAGGTGTAGCACAGGCACCCTTTCCTTCTAGAGGAAAAGGACCACTGGATGAACAGACACACCTGTGGGGCTCTGCGCTCACTGCTGGCAGAGGTGATGTCCAGGACACCGGTCAATACTGGCACTCAGAGACCCCACTCCAGAAGATCATTTCCTTTATTCCAGTCTGTCTCCAAACTCTCCCTTCTTGGGGCAAGGCGAGCTAAGCAGATGAGTGTTTTGGTCCAGGGCCCAAGGCCCCATCTGCCTCCATAGGGCCCTCCTGGTCTGGACCGGCCCCATACAGACTTGGAGAGATCAGGCCATTCT